AAATTTAATGGTAATTTAAATTGTTAAAATTTTATTCAAATAAATTTAACTTACTAGACAATTTTTCTAATATCTTCTTTCTCTTTGCATCTGATTTATCAGGATTACTATTTGTTAAACCATCATTTATAAAAACCCCATTTCTATAATTTTCTCCAAATACCTCATATTCTCCTTTGTGATTATTTGAAGGAAAAAGATTATTCTTAACCTTTGTAAAAAGTTTTGTAAAGCTAGGGATAACGGGTGAATATGACTTTTTACTTCCATCATTCAATAAATTTGAATTGTCATTTCTACCTCCCTTGCAATGTAGAAAATAATTTGTTGAAAAAAGCATTAAAAGAAAAATTTGGAATTTTCCAAACATTTTTCAGTTTGTCTTTAAATATTTTTTAAATCTTAATTTTATGATAATTTTTAATTAAAATAAATATAAATTATTATTTTTTTAAATTTAAATAATTCTCTGGGACAACTACGTTTTTAAAAACTTTTATCAGTTAAATAATTTTATAAAACCGCTAAATTATTTTTAAATTTAGTAAAATTAAAAAAGTAAAATTAAAGAAAATAAATTTTTAAAATAAAATAATAGCTATTAATGGTATTGGGGAATTGATTTACTTTAATATATCCCCCCCCCCCCCCCCCCAAGCAAATTTTTGCCCCCCCCCCCCCCAATTGAATAATCTCCCTTACCCTCCCCCCAAAAGCCAAATAAAAAAATGTATACACACTATTTTACCTGCTAATTTTTCTATCTATCTAATGACAGACAGTTAAAGAAAATTTTTCACCCACGAGGAAAATTTTCAATGATTAAAACACAAATTCTTGTGAAACTCCTCTTACATAAATCTGCCTTTCTTTTGATATTGAAAAATACGCTTAAACTTAATTTCAAACTTTATTTTACACCTTTTTTTGAATAATCACTGTCAATGTATTTGCTTAATCAAATTCCAAATCTAATACTCCCTTTTAATAAAAACAGAGAATTATTAGCAAATCTATGTATTTTTAACTTAAATATTGGCTATTCATCGAAAAATTGATTTAAAACCTAATTCTTTTAAACTTGATTTTAGACCAATACTTAGTATTATTAAAGAAAGTTTAAAAATAAAACTAGGAGTTATCATAATAGAAATTTAATCATTCAAAATTAAAATCATCAAATTAATTTTTAAAATATTTTATTATTAAATTACCCTCCTTATGTAAATTTTTGTCCCCTCTCAATTGAAAAATCTCCTCACATGCAACAAAGCAAAGCTAAACTATACACCTTATTTTTAGCAGCCAATTTTTCTCTCTAACGATGGAGGAATTGACAGACGGTTAAAGAAATTTTGCAATCACCCACGCTTTATAGTGTTTAATTGATCACCCCGAGGAAAATTTTCAATGATTAAAACACAAATTGCTGTGAAACTCCTCTTAAATCTGCCTGTCTTTTGAATTGAAAATTATGCCCAAACTTAATTTCAAACTTTATTTTATATATCCTTTGATCATAAATAAACAATTTAACAATTAAAATAGTTTATTTAGAAAATAAATATGCATTATTTCCATTTGAACAATATGTCTACATATATCAACATAATATTTCTTTTTGAGTTGATCTAGTTGATTTAACAGTTGTTAAACGTGCAGCAATTTCATCTTAAAAGAAAGATTACCGTAAATGCTGAAATAATTACCCTCTCTCAAATAATTACCCTCTAGTTATTTTGCTCAAACTTTAAAAATATTTAAAGAAATATTATCAAATTTAATTATTGGAACATTCTAAGACTCAATATCAAAAAATAAATCAATTTCGGCTCAAATGGATTGAGATATACTTTAAATCTAGCATATCCTCTCTAATAATTAGCCCCTCCAGCGAGAGACTGAAACAATAATTACCCAGGGTAATTATTTCAGCATTTACGGTAGATACATATTTATTTTAATTAATTACCTAACTTTGGACAACATCCTTCTTTATAACAAGGCACATACCCAAATATACAAGCGTGTGGATTGGACAATTCACACTCCTCACAAAAATATTTACAATTCATATCTTCACAATTTCCATTTATTAAAACTATTATCACCATTAAAATAGCAATTACTCGAAGCATGTCTAATTTTCTTAATTTTAAATTCAAAAACTTCAGCTACTTTTCTAAAATTGAATTAAAGCTTTAAAATAAATAATGAAATTTTCTGAAGATTAAATTTGAAATTAAATTAAAAATATTTATAATTAATTTTATAAATCTCTAAAACATATAAATATACCGTATATACTCTATTAATTACCCTGGGTAATTAATTATAACTAGTTTTAATTATAATTAGTTTTTTACTTAAAACTAGCTAATTATAACTAGTTTTAAGTAGGTAATTATTTTTCACCCTTTCGGTGGAGGGGATAACTAATAGAGGTGGGGTAATTATCTAAGGGAGGGTAATTAATAGAGTATATACGGTAAATGACGTGATTTTCCAAAGTTTTGAAAATAAAATTAAATGAACATTCTTTTATTAATTTTAAACATTAATTCAATAGTGATAAATGTTTTATTAATAAATTCATAAACGTGGCTTAAATGATGTTAGACATTAAACATACAAAAAAATTTAAAAAATTTTCAACTCTATAAATAAATTTTATAAAAATAAAGAGGAATATTATCATTATTTATTTAAAATAAAGAGTAAAGAATTTAAAAAATTAGCCATAAATAGTTAACCTTAATAAAAATTAACCTTAAATAATTAATTTTCATTTAAATTCCCCTAAATAAATCCAATTATTTTCAATGAAATCATTATTTATTATTAATTTTATTATTTTAATAATTTTAATATTAAAGTCTTTCGGCGAGAAATGTGGCTTTTTTAATTGTCGAAAATTCTGTGCAGCCTCTTGTTGGTTACTTGGAATTTGTCCTCCTGAAAAGGGACTTTGTCAACTAATAAAGTGTTGTTAAGTGGTTTAATTAAGGTTTTTACTAATTAATTAAATTAATAAATAGTTCAGTCATGATTATTCGGTTTTATTAAAAATATGTATATAAAAGGGGTTAAATTTATAAAAACAAACTATTACATAGCAATTATACATATTTATGGATGATACAAAATTATTGCAATTAAAGTTGATCTTTAAAACTAAAGGATTTGGCCGGAAATACATTATTTTTTCATAATTTTTTTTATAAATTGGCCAATTTTGATTTTATTTGTTTATAAATGAGCCTGTTTTGAAGTCTATATTTATGCAAGTAAGAATAAACTTGTAAATTATTTTAGAAAAAAAGTTCTCATCAAAATTCGGGTGGCAGTTTTATTTGCTTAGCAAAATAATTTTCATTTAATAATGTCTTAATAAAATAATATAAAATTTATTTTATTATTGTAAAAATAACATCCAGTTATTACAAGATTTTATCGGTTTTAATTTTTGTAATTAAATACTCACAAAGTTAAAAATTAAACAAAAATATTAATTTAAATAAAGCTTGGAAATTTATAAACTATAACAATGTTAGCATTCCACCTTCTTAATATTTATAGTGTGTAATCTCACAAACTTGTCATTTTTCACATACAAAAATAGCAGGTTAAATAAAGATTGAATTTTCGTTGACGAAAAAATAAAAACTTATTTCTTCTCGTTAAATTATTAACGAGGAAGTAATTTTATAAATTAATAGAAAATATCTACATATATTGAATACATATTATAATATGCTCAATCATGATTGATGCTCATTAAAATGATTTTTTTAATTAAAATTACTTTGAAGCTTAGATTCAAATGCTTGCTAACAAATAAGATTAGCTCACACATTGCAAATGTGGTGATCATTAACCTCGTCCAGCAGGCATCTTAAAAGCTAGCCTGACAAATCTCCCTTTTCCTCACCATAAAATTTAAATTTTCCAAAAAATTTAAAGATAAAAATTAATTTTTATAGGCTTTTAAATATTCATTTAATAGTTAAAATTAATTATCGTGTTTAAAATAAAATTATCATCCATAAATCTTTCTTTCTAAAAATAAACTTCTCAACATCATTTTCATGATAACTCACAGGATAATTATTCTAAAATTAAAAAATAATAAAATTTAATTTTAATTATAATTTTTTTACTTTTGCAGCATTTAGATGATTCACAAACTGTTCTTAAGCCTCCAGCTTTGGAGCAGTTTAGGTCACAATTCATTTTGATACATATTAAGTTAGCATAAACGACTGATATTAACAAAACCAAAAGTAATAAAATTAAAAGTAAATTTTTCATTTTTGTTTCTAAATTTTATTTTTTTAAATTAAAAATTTGAATAGTGAAACAGTCAAAATTCTCAAACGCTTTTATACCCAAAAAATAAATTAATCATTTATTTTTTAAAACCAAGAATAATAAATCTTTAATGAAATGGTGTTATCATTTTATAAGAATTTTTTGATTAATTATTTCTTTTAATTAGATTTTTTAGTTTTACAATCTTTTAAACTACTAATTTTAATAAAAATATAATTGAATAAATAATCTTTGTCTGATAAAGCAACCTTTTGATTTTTTTAGATTGTCTCGGTGAAATTTTGGAAAAATTTCTGCTTTCCAAAATTCTAGGCTGATTTCAGATTTCCAACAGTTCCGATTTCCGGCACCTTTGTCATTTAAAACCTACGTCTGCTTCTGATTATAAGTTTTAACCGTTAGTATTTACATACCGCTCCTATTTACTCATCCTCTTTAGCCATCTAAGCTTTTTAAAATCTCCATTATCCTTACAATTTTTAAACTTAAAAAAATTCAAGACATAAATTAATTTTTATTGTATGTATTATTAACATATTTATTTAATAGTTAACATTACTAATCATTACACTTGATTATCACCTATAAAATTTTCTTTTCGAATCGCAAGATAATCACAAGCTAAAATTAAAGAAATAATAAAATCCTATTATGATTTTTCTTACAAATCATCCACTATTACAGCATCCAGCTGCTACACAAGCTCCTAAATAGCCTCCACCTCTGAAGCAGTTGACCCCACAATTCAAATTGTAGCAATTTTCAGCATAAACGATTGAAGTTAACATAATACAAAGTATCAACATTATTAAAAGTAATTGTTGCATTTTTGTTTCTAAATTTTAATTTTTATTTAAAAATTAAATATTAATTACATATTTATAAAAGTACCGTATTTACTCGATTAATTCCCCACCCTCGAATAATTCCCCACCCCCTATTAATTCCCCATGACAGGGATGGGTTGAAAAAATAATTCCCCACCCTCAAATACCCTACTACACGTTCAAATTTCAAAACTCGAATAATTCCCCACCCTCTATTAATTCCCCATGCCACGGATGGGTTGAAAAAATAATTCCTCGGGGGAATTAATCGAGTAAATACGGTAATCTTGTACATAGAAATATCTTAATTTAAAAAATTCTCAAACATTTTTATACCCAAAAAATAAATTAATCATTTATTTTTTAATATAAAACTTTAATGAATTTATTATTTTCTAGAAATTTTTTGCTTAATTAATTCACCGAATTAGAACTTTGAGATTTTATATTCTTTAAATTTACTTTTTAAAAATAATTTATTGCACGATATTTTTCTAGAAGTGACGTTTAAATTTTTTGAAATTACCTCAATTTCCCAATATAATCTGTAAAAGAAATTCCTTTTAGATTCAGTATATTATTTAGAAATATTTTCAGATTCATCCTAATTAGATGTGTGTCGGAACAGTCAGAGGAGTCGGAAATCGGAACAGGCTCAAAAATCGGAAATTAAAAATTTTTTTGGAAATCGAAAATCGGAAGGAAAAAAACGTCGAAAGTCGGAAATAGGAATTCGGACCCATTTTTGATCCCAATCTAAGAAATTATATCAAATATTTCCTTATTTCCTCAACAAATACTTCAAAAAACTTTGTTCTTAGTAAACTTTACTGTTATCATTTAATTTTTATATTTATTTTTATAAAAGAAAATTTTTTTTATTAAAATTCAATCATACCAAAACAATTGTTTTCGATAAAAGATTTAAAATTATCATATGTTTTAGTGCCCAATAAAATAACAAAAAAAATAAAATTGAATAAATTCCTTTCAATATTTAAATCTAATTTTTATTGTGAAAGCTTCATTTAATAAATAAATTTTAATCATTTCCTGACTAATAAAAAAGTAATTTTAAAAGTATTCATAGTTTTATTTAAAAATTATAATTCTTTAAGTTAGTGTTGGATCCCGACCCAATTCAATCCTGAGCTTTTTGACCCCCAAAAGTTCATGGTCAAACCCTAATTTAATTTTTAAGATGTAGAATTAATCTACTTGGAAAAATAGTATAAATTTACTAAATTATCATAAACAGATATTGACTGAGATGATAAACTTTTACGATTAGATTTACGTAACAAACGACAATTTTTAATTTTTGAATGTTATTAAAAAAGGATAGGACCAAAAATCTTTTTAGGAAAATAAGTTATTTTATCAAATCATTTTAATCTTTAAACGCCATTGTAACGGATTTGGCAGTATTTATTAGGCCTGGTTAAAATGCTTTAAGTTAAAAAATAAAGAAAATAAAAGTCCTTTATTTAAGTTTGTAAATAATATCCCAAGCAGGGGTGAGCGCATTGCGTTATGCGTTATTTGCGTTAAATTTTGGCCTTGCGTTGCGTTTTGTGTCTTGCGTTTTTTGAGATTGTCTCTTGCGCTCACCCCTGATCCCAAGGTTTATGCAAAGCCAACTAGCGAGCAATCACGGCAATCCTTCATTTAACTTTTTAATTAGTTAAATTAAAAATACTTAAAATAAAAAGTTTTAGAAAATAAAATAATTAAAATGAAATATTTAATACTATTTCTCTTAGCTTTAATTGTTATTGTTGGTATAACTACAGTCAACACTTTGCGATGTCAAGGGGATGATACTTGTATAAAATACCAAAGAGGATGTTTAAAACAAGGATGTTGTAATAGTGGATGAAAGCTTAACGGTTTTAGAAATAATTAAAAAATGAAAATTTTTATTTTAAAATAATGTTGAAGAAGAATTGAAAAAGAAGTTTAAATGAATAAAATGAATTTTATTTAAAATTAATTTTTTTACTGAATTATATAATCGAACCAAATGAAGCTTTAATCATTCAAAATCCATGCTTTGGATAAACTTTTTTCGCACTTTTGATTTTTATTTTTGGTATCCTTAAATTCTTCAATAGTTTAGTTTTATAGATAACCTGATTATTAAATTATTTAATTCTATGGTGTTTATTAGATAGCCCTTTTTCTTTATCAAAAATATTATTTTTTTAAAATTACCATTATAATAATAATAAATTTAAAAGAACATAAAATTCTTTGCTACAATTCAACGTAAATTTTTATATTAAATTTCCTTAACCATTAAAATTCCCAGTTTCGGAAAATATTATTTAGAAAAAAATATTTTTTTACTTTTGAATAAACATCAAAAACGCAGGTGTATTAATAAAATAAAGAGAAATTTTTCCCTCTTTTTAATTTATAAATTCTTTTTAACAAATATTATTTAACGTCGATTTATTTATTTTGTATAACTTTTGATATTATAGAAAATTAATAGAAATATTTACAAAATTTAATTTTATATAATTTATTAATTTGTTAATATTTTCATTTCGAAATTTTGAAAGATACGAAAAATTGTTAACAAAGGGGATTGACAAATATTTAATTACATATGTATCAATTAGGATTTAATTTGTCAGTTAATTAATATTTACTATTCATTTTAAATTGTAATTGTGATGATATTTTAAAGCGTTATAAAATTAATTAGTCTTATTAATTATTTAATTTAAAAAATTAACTTAAATTATTTATTTTTTCCCAGGAGGACATTGTTTACACCTCTTAGGTTTGTCCTCGTCGTAGCATTTTTTACAAGCAACTGGGTCATTACGACATGGAGGGCCGCAAAGTTCATCAACACATTCATTACAATTCTTAAATTTAAAACTAAAGAATTGACCAAATGATTAATGTTTTCTGAAGTAAGATATCCTTATCCGCTCAAACACACCTACTAGTATTTTGATTTTTGTTAATCAACTATTTCGGAATGAAACTTCAACGGCCTTTATAGATCGCCAAATTTAATAACAATTTAGTCTTTTTGGAGAATTTTCAAATAAATAATTTTCTAGAAAATAAACCAAAAATAATTTTAATACTTACCGCAGCATCAGTAACATCATCAAATAATACAATGACTAAAATAAACAAAAAAGCTACTTTTTGTAAAGTCATTTTTTGAATAAAATTTATGTAAATGATTGAAATTTTTAAGATTATTTATTTAATTTTAATAAATTTTAATTTAACTGAATATTTTGGTTAGCTATTTATATATTTTGGAATTCTAATGGGGTTAGCATAATAATTAGAAATTACTAAACATTCATTTCATAATTTAAAACAATTTTTAAAAATTGTTGTTCTTGCTATCTTTATACTTAATATTTTACAATTCTTACTAATCAAAATTTATTTTTAAAAATTAAATCTTTTGAAATTGAGTTATTCTTATTAAAAACATGCTTGATAATAAAATATCTAAAAATATATTATTTTACATTTCATTTAAATTTTTAGAGATAAAATGTTACACTGATACGGACCTTTAACATGAAGACCTTTAACAAAATTAGTCATTTTCCTTTTGCTATTACATATTTTATTTTGAAAATAACACTTTTCTTCGAGGCATAAATGTTTGAGTGCTTGCTTTATTCAGAACCTTATAATTCTTCTCTGCGATGAACGTATTTTTTATAAAAAATTCATTTATAAGTTTTTAGAATTCTCGAAGGTCAAAAAGCTAGAAATCCTTATTCCAAACAAGATTTTCTCAAAATTATCTGGCTTAAAACCAAAATAATCCTAAATTTTTATTTTTTATCTTCAAATTTATCGTCAAATTAATCAAAGCAAAAACAAGTTTTTAATTTTATTTTCTAAATATAATTTCTATTTAATTTTAATTTTCTATCTTTAATTTTATTTATTATCAAGGGAAGAAAAATAATAATTAAATATTATAAAACTGGCAAAAATGTTAAAAATAAAAGGGGCAAAATGGGGCCGTATGTAAAAATTTTTGGAAAAGGTGCTGTGTGATTTCGACAAAAGTGGATCGGGCAGTGAGTTAAATGTGCCCCTACTTTTCATAGCTCCTTCACATAATTTATTATAACAAAGACGAATTGTGCTGTAGCTATTGCCCTCCATCGGCTAGTGCAAAAGATTATGCGGCGGTTGGGAGCGAATCAGCATCTTCAGCCGAAACGGACAGATGGTATGTTATCCATTACTTTTGCATGACTTTAGGAATTAAATAGTTATTGTTTACATTATTTTTTCAACAAAGGAAATGATAATCGTAAATTTGAGAGTGAGCAAACACATTTATTTACATAGGAAATAGAACAAATAAAATTCAAAAGATGAACGGGAAGAAAATTCAAAAAAGGATTGATTAACAGTTACTCTTAGAAATTTTATTTTGATTCATTTAACACCTAACACAATAAATTTTATAGGTATATTTATATCAATCAATCAATCACAATTTTTTAAATTTTGATCCAATTCTAATTAGCCAATCATTTGTACTAAAATTACATTTTAATTTATTAAAAATGCTAGTCCAAAAAAGTTAATTTTTAATTTTCTGTTAAATGTTATTACTAAATTTTAAAATATTAATTGGACATGACATATCACAAAAAATCTCAAAATATTTGATGCGACATTTCCTGTTGAAGAACTCCCAATATTTTTAAATTTGTTCAATTCTTACAAATTCCCGTTGAGCTACTTTAAAATTAAAGGTAGCCAATTTAAATAATTTTTAATTTTATTTAAATTACTAGTTTTGAAATATTAATTAATTGGCTAAGACATATCCCAGTTAAGTATTTGTATGTCAGTTACTCCTCGAAGGGCCCCCATTATTTTTTAGACGTTAAATTTTTACAAATCCGCGTTCAAATATCTTAAAATAAATCCAATATAGTGTTCGGTATAGAATATTATCTAAAATTAAACTTTATATTTATTTATTAACCTTATATTTATTTACCAATGGTGGCGCAGGAAAACCCTGATATGCTACAAAAATTCTTGAATTCATTCATAATATAAGGGCCACTGGGACAACCAAGACCAGGTTGTAAAAAACATGTATTAAGGCAAAGAATTTGGCAAAAATGATAGAGAATTTCGTTAGGTGATAGGCTTTCAACAGAAGCAAAAATCAAAAATACAACCAAAATAGCAAGCAATTTATTCATTTTAATTAAATATTTATTTTATTAAATTATTTTTCAAAATTAATATTTATGAATGATTTCTTATAAAAGTTGACCTCAATTTATATGAAAAATTTTTTAAGACTAAAACTCTGTTTTTGCTTGATTCCAACGTTGAATTTCTTCTAAAAATAAAAATAATTGTTTTTAATATTCTTTCTTAGACGTGGAATACGTGGAGTAAATGAGGAAATAAAGTAAAATTATTCTTTGAAGCCGAGAGTCAAAGATGTTAGAATAATAAAAATTATTTTTGAAGCTAATGTCAAAATATCAATTTTAATATTGCTTATCTCTATTCCTCCGTTATATCAATAATTTCAAACATTCCTCGTGATATCATTAATATTTTTAAATAATAAAATTTTTTTTAGAATTTTGACTTTCAATCTTGTAAATTTTATGATTAAAAATTTTTTCCTTTAAATTTTTATTTATTATTGAATAGCTTACAAGGATAGTAAAATTTTATTGGAATAGAAACGAAGAAAATAAATATTAAAATAATTAAAATTTTTTGTTTCTAAAAATATTAATCAATTTATCTTTATTAATTCAGAAAAGAAATAAAATTTAAAATTTATTAGTTAATTTAAATAATAAATAAACATTTTGCCGAAACTAGGTTATACCCCGAACGCGAAGGGATAAAATCAAATCATTAAATCAAGAAATACATATTCAAAACAAAAAATTAATAAAAAAGTGTATAATATTTACATATATCCATAAATTTAAAATATATTTTTAAATAAAATTAAATATTGTATTCATTAAAAAAGAAATTTTCAAAAAAATAAGAAAATAAAATTTTGAAATTTTTAAAATTTAATTTAACTTGACATAATCATTTGTAGATTTATTTTTAACTTTATCTTTCAATTTCTGAACAAATTTCATTATTTTCAATTCCAATTTCTCTTCCCAATTTTCAAAAAATTGTTCAATTTCTTGTCTAAAATCCTCAACTTTCTTCTTTTCTTTCATAAATTCAATATTAAATTCATCACATTTTGTTCTTAATTTTTCACAATTTTCTTTTAAATTTTCGTAAATATTAAAAAATTTAAATTCTCTAAAATTTAAATTTTCTATATCTACACATATTTCGACAACTTTTATTAATTTTAAAAAATTATTTTCTTCCAAAACAATTAAATGGGCATTGAGAATCTGAAATTTTAAAGATAATATTTTTTTAAATAATTTTTTTTATTTAAATATAAATCCATTTACCTAAAAAAATTTTAGAATTACAAAAGAAATTCGAGAATAAAATCAAAAGCTCGTGAAAATATTTTTTAAATTTAAATTCTCTTATTACTTGTACTTCCCTCAAATTTCCCATTAACAGAAAAAACCTTGTGGATAATAGCTCTGTGGATAAATAAATAATTAAAATATAATATAATAATTGTAAAGGCATCTATAACGAAGAAAAAGTAAAGGCAAAACCTCAGCCAATTTTGGCGTTAACAGAAAGGTGATTCGATTCCTACCCGAATAACCAACCCTTTACCTACTTCAAGCTTTTTCCTGAATTTTTTATCTTTCAAATTTTTCTCCAAATTTATTACATTTTTAAATTCATTAAATACTTCAATAAACATCGAAAATTTTTTAGCATTTGCCAAGAATTTAGGAATATCTGGATTTAATAGTGCCATGTTTTTAATTTCGTTACTTAATATATTTAGCTGATGATAATTTTCGGATACCGATTTAAAATAATTATCAGCCTCTTTCAAATCATTAATTAATGGATCGTCTAAATTTAAATTTAAAATTATATTAAATATATTTTATGGGTAATCTTGCTTTAATGATTTTTAGATTGCCTTTTAAGTCGATCCGACATTCGAGGCGACCGGGCAAACTTAATATTTTGGATAAAATCAGGACATTATGGCAACCTTTACAACTTTATCTAAACAAATCCCACCTTCCGTGTCTCTTTTCTGTTCACAAATTTCTTCTCCAACTTTACTTGTACTTCCCTCAAATTTCCCATTAACAGAAAAAACAAAATTTATTTTAATCAACAAAAATAGAATAAATTGAATAATAATAAAATTAAAAATATTTTGTTGGCTTGGAATAGCCATTATTTTAATTTTGTTAAGAAAAAGTATGTAATTTAAATATTTTTTTATATTTATTTTTATGTAGATTAATAATTATTAAAGTTTTTAATTTTGACTTTTAATTATTCTATAAATACAGACAAAATTTTATTATTGTTTAAATTAAGTTGCACTTTAGGAAATAACCGACAAAATTTATCAGATATCATTGTGAAATAATAAAAATATTGTTGACACTAGATAGCCCGGAAATAAACAACTAAAGTGCAAATAATTTTGTAATTTTTAATAAAGTACTTTTATTTTATTAAGCTAATTTTTATTTTAAAGAATTTAAATTTTGTTTCAAGTTTTATTTTTATTGTAGAGCTAGTCCTATTTATAATTGTTATTTTTGTATTTTTTTATTAAAATATCTATAGTTACATCGAAGAAACATAGAAGGCATATTATCACAAATTTTAGAGAAATTTTTAAAGATTTTATCACAAAATTAATCAGAGATTTGCAAAATAAAATAAAAACATTTAAATTACGTGTAATATTAATTCTCATTTAAACTTTATCAGACAAATTTTTTATCAGATAAATTCTTTGTTTATTCCAAATATATAAATTGATTTATGTCTCATGCTTATATATATCTCATTTTTAGTCTTTCCTAGTGCCCAAATAAGCCTTCAGTTTCGGTACAGCATATACTTTATCAATAAAATCATTCAGTTCCTTATATTTTCCGACTACTTCAGGCTCTAATTTGCGTGTCAAATCAAAATATTCGGCCAATACTAAGTCAACATATGTTAAACCAGATGATACAAAGAATCCTGAACCAGATTGGGCCAGAAGTTTGACGAAGATTGGGTAAAGTCTTTCAGTCCCAGGCAAAAATACAGTCTTTTTCAGATTATCCTGAACTTGATATATTTTAGAAAAGGGGGAAGGGAAAAAATACTAACCGCATCGCCTTCACGATAGCCTAATTTTGTTAAAGTGTAAGGTGATAATTCGTTATAAACATCTTTATAGAAATTAAAAATCTCAATTACTTTAGCCTTTTCCCATTCATCTTTTCCAGCCAAACCTTTAAATTTAAAAATATAATTTTTAAAATAATTATTTTATCACCAAATTTATTAGCCAGATATTGAAGGATTGCACTAGATTGACTCAATTGCTTACCATCAACTTCTAAGACTGGCAATTTTTCATAGAAAAATTCTAAAAATAAATTTAAATATTTTAGAATAACTAAATACAATTTCCCTATTTAAATTTAATTTTACTCTTTTTCTCGGCATCCCATTTTTCATGTGTAAACCGTATATCTTCGAAAGTCACTCCAGCATAGTGAAAGCTAAATGTGAAACAATATGCTGTAGGCTTTGAAAATTTAAAAAGCTTGCCTTTGTCTTATGGCTTCGCCTAAACCTCTTTCGAAGTAATAAAGTTTGTATTTAACCATTTTATTAATTAGTTGAGTAATAACGGATTAAAAATTAAACAAAAGCCTACTATTGTCAAAATCAAAAAATTATAATATTTAATTAAAGATTTAAGTTAATTTTTACAAATATCTTTTAAGGAAGCTCAAAAAATTTATAGATACATATTTCTTTTTCTTTTTATTTTCAAAAATAAATGACAAATTACGAGTGGTACAAGTTGATTTTCTCGTACTCTTTCTTAGTTTTATAAGGGTTTGGTAATTTTGGGTGTACAGTGCTCCACATAACTATAGTTCCACCCCTATTTTCGTGTTTTTTCCATTTAGACCCCAAAAATTTTTTAAATTTTCGTTTAAATATTGTCCTCAGGTACCTAAAAGACTAATAAAAAATCAAAATTTAATTTTGGGATTAAAATTACTTGTGTTTTAAATATTTTGTTGGAAAACACCTCCACATAACTATAGTTCCACTTCCCAAAAAATTATTTCCAACATTAGGAAAAATCTACAAAAATTCCAGTAAACTTATATAATTATATTATAAAAAAATAAAAAGAAACTAGGCCAATATCTTTATCCTAAGACGAGATCCTGTTACCTCGAAAATCAACGTAAAATAGGGGTAAGCCTCTTTAAAAAATATTTTCGACCCCTTGGAAAAATATTTTCGACCCCTTTTTGGGAAGTGGAACTATAGTTATGTGGAGCACTGTATATTTAGTCATTTTTAGATCTGTTCATGTCAAGTCCACAAGTCCATAACAATGACAAAAACATGTCGAAATTCTTTTTTAATTCATTAAAAATTCTATCAACTTTCTAAAATTTTAATAAAGGTGTCAATTAACAAGAAAACTTAACTAACAACGACTATTTAAATAAATAAATTTGTATTCTTAAAGAAATGAATGTGTTTTTTATTTAAAATTAGAATACTTTTTTCTCAACCATCAAATTAAAAATAAAAGAAATAAAAAGTTTACAAGCATTAAGAAATTTAAAAATGAAAAACAATAATAAAAGTTACTATGGAAGCATATTGCTTTATTGTTAGCTTTCACTAGTCTGGTGGGACTATCGATGATTTTTTCTAAATTATTACCTTTAGAATAAATTTGTAACTTTTTAAGAACGAACTGGTAACTTTTTTAGAACGTTTTATGGTAACTTTCCAATTTATCTTTTTATATTTCCATGGTAACTTTTTATTGTTTTTTTTATTTTTAGATTGATTAATATGTAAAAATTTCAAATTATTAATTGAAGAAAAAATATTTAACTTAAAGTAAGAGCGAGGTAAAAGTTTAATCCCGGACAGTCTTCGATCCTGCGACCTCCTGGCAGTTATTGCTAGGCGCTTTTGCTCACCACGTACGATCTACCAACTAAGCTACAGGGACGCTGATCGAGTTAGATTTTTTATTATCTTTTCTTTGCTTTTATGATTTGTAAACAAATTCTATTATAATCCAATTTTTTGTGTTAAATTTTTTTTATTTCTATAAAATATTTGCAAATTTGTAAATTTTTGTCTGAATAATAAAACGTTTATTTTTGACCTCCATTATTACAAAACAAAGATTTTATTTTTAAAAGTAAAAAGTAAATTTTTTAAAGAAATGTACAAAAAGTAGAATTCATTTTAAAAATTCTGATATTTAATTAAATATTTAATAATTTAATTATAGCACAAATTACATATTTCAATGAATAAATACAATTTTAAAATATAATTATAATTGTGTAAAACAAAGTAGGGCTAGGTCGAGTTTTTCTAAAAAAAATTAAGAAGGCTAATAAAGCATATGTCGAGGTCTAAATTCTACCCGAGGTCGAGTTTTCAATAAACCTGTCAAATCTCGGCTTAAATATTTTTTTATTGCAAAGGAAAGTTGTTTTAACTATATATAGAATTATGTTGGTGTAGAGAGGTGGATTCAGGCCAACATGAGAGATATATGTATATTTAGGTGTAACATAAGTTCTGCCATAGTGGGGGTTTTTATAAAGGTCATCACTACGGATATACACAACAACACAAATTTCTCTCCTTAGGACCCACTCACCCACTCACCATTCTGCAATTTTATTATTTATTTTTACTATTTTCTTTGAATCAATAACATTTATTTTAAAATTGTTTATTAATGTTGAAATAACTCAACTTTTATAACTAAAATATTTTTAAAATTTTTAATTTTATTAAAATTATTAGAAACATAATAATCTTAAATTATTAATTTATAAAATAAATAATTAAATGAATAAAAATATAAAAGCTAACAATAAAAAAGATGTATTATGTACATATCAACAAATAAAATTTGCCTAATTATACTTCTCAAATTAATTTAACCTATTGAATAAAAATATATCAAAATATAATAAATTCTAAAAATGTAGTTAATAAAATTTTAATAAATTAACAAAATTACAAAATTAAATTTTATCATTTTTAAAATATGTAAAATTCAATAAAAATAATTTTTCTGCAATTCTAAAATTTATTATTTATATCCTCATCAATTAATTATTTAAAAGTCTGTTTTCTACAAAATATTTCAAATACAATTTTAAATTAAATAGAAACTCTCAATTAATATTTTATATTAATTTTATAATAACTTTATTTTAATAACTTTATTTTATACACAATATAATTTATAATCTGAAATAAAATTTTAAAAACCAACTAAATATGTATATTGTATACATAATATGAAATGATCAAAAACTTCATGCCTCACACTATGTAGTTCTGAAAATAGAGCTGTAACATTTATTCTAAAAAACAATGGAAATTATAGTTATTCTCGATAAGGCATATTTTAAGTTAAAAATAATATTTTATAAACTATAATAATAATAATTATTACCAGACGCCTTGCGTTCAGAAGATAAGCAAGCATAAAAATTCGCTTTCCAAGGCTCCGTTCATAACAAAAAAAACAATGAATATATACATATATTTTTATTATGAAATTTTTTTAATAAGCAGAATATATTTATAAATTGTTATATAATTAATGAAGGATTTTTAATTAATAATAAAAAAGATTAATAAATAATTATAAAAATTAAATACACACAATTTAAAAAATTATAAGTATTTAAAATAATGAAATAAAAGTTAGTTTTTTAATTATACATTAATATGGATAAATAGTACATTTATCCAAATGATATTTGTTATCGACCCGAGCCCTATACCAAACCAATCTTATGCATCATTAAATTAATAGTAGAATTTCATAAAGAATCTCATAAAAACTTCTATTAAACAAAAAACATCGAATGCTTTTTTATTTCAATATTTGCACCAACTGTGTAAACAATGATGCACTAACCAAGCTAATAAGATTAAACTAATCATAATAACGAAATTTTTAAATATTTAATACATAAAAATTGTTTATTTAACAATAAATTTTTAATTAATTGTCTACAAATATGAAAAAGTACATCGGTATTTTGAATTAAGCATAAGCTATTAATAAAAATCTTTAAATGGTTTCTACATTTTCGTTAAATAATTTTATTAAAATAATTTTTTATTAAATACTTTTTATAAAATAATTTTTTATTTGATGAATTAATATGCTTAAAAGTAAGATCTATTAAGTTGGTTATTATGACTTAACGTCTATGTACATAGTCATATGTATATAAATTATTAACTAAAAACAATATTGGAATAAAAATAAATAATTAAACATTTTAAATATAAAAGTTAACAAGTTCTACATAAAAGTAGTAAATCTATTAAAATAGTTTGCAATTATGGGGATATTGTTTTGAAAGTGTTAAGAGAGCCTGTATTTTTAACATAAAAGGAAAAATAAATAAAAATAAACAATTCGTCAAAAATCCGAAGAAGTTGAAAAATGTTGTCGTTGTCCTCAACAATGTAAAAAGCAAGAATAACAAATACGAATACATATGTAGAATAAAAAATTAAAGGTAAAAATATATTTTTTAGATGTTAATTAGTTTAAAAGAATAACGTTTTTACTCGTGAATTTTTTGAATATGCTTTGAGGTTATTACTTATAATTAAACAAATTTATAGTTGAGGTAAAGGAATGTAATGAACGAAAAATTAAAAAATTAAGAAAAAATATACATATTTATTTTAATTAACAACAACGAATTTATAATTGGTATAAACATAAGTATCATTCAATTAAAAAATGTGTATTATTTGTAAAATAATTATTTTATTAAGTTTAATTTATTATACATATTTTATAAAATGCAAACTTATCTGAATGATTCTTGTATCACTAAGATTATTATTAAAATTATAATTATTCTTTTGTTTGTTTATAATTTAATTAAGTAAGACAAAATGTGCTCTATAAAGACGTCAAAATTAAAAAAAACTTATTTAATAATAGGTTTAATTATTTATTTGATATTAAATTAAATAAAGAACTAAGCTGATTGACGCATCACTATTCAGAAGCATTGGCATTTATTTATAATGAACAACTTAAATATATATATAATTGTTTTGAACTAAATAAAAATAGATAATTTATAAATTTAAACAATTTACAATTAGCCATTCCTTTACATTTGCCAAATTAACATTTATTATGTATATTAATGATTATTTTTGGATTTTTATTAAATATATTCTTCAATTAATTATGCTTTTTTATGGCTTAGATGATAGATCATCAAACATGTTTTATAAAATTAATTAAAGAATGTAAGTAAAATTCAACCGAGAGCTTTACAATTATTATTAATCATACATAAAAAATATGTACTTTGTCTAAAAAATTTCTCAAAATATCCAAAGTATCATGCTTAGATTTTATACTTCAATGCGCAGATTTATGATAA